GTGCAAAAATCTAGGGAAAGTGTGTTCTAGGAAGATGGAACAGTAGGTGCAAAGGCCCTGAGGCAGGGAAGATTAACATACTGCCTGGAGCACAGAGTGTGGGAGAACACTAGAAGCCAGTAGCCAAGGACCAGATCACATAGAGACTTGGTCAGGAGAAGCCTTCAAATGGCAATGAGTTTTAAACAGAAATGCTAATATTCAATTCACGTTGTTCATGTCAAGGTTTGAGGGGTGTGGAAAAATACAATAATATCACCAAATAACGTCAGCAAAGCTGATTGGTGGGGTGCTCAGAAGAGACCTGACTCTCGTTGGAGTCTCTTTCTTGATTTCACCACTATTCCAAAAAATAAAAATCAATAAGATATGCTTCTGAATGTGAAAATATCTATACTTAAATGAAAAAAGACAGTCGTCTGCTGGGACAGGAATGGGACAGACATCTTGTTTCATACTTCATAAACTTCTATATTGTTTGAATTTTTCCAGTCTTGTATTCACATACTACCTGTGTCATTTTTTTAAAGTGTGGCTAAGATGGCAACAGCTCATTTTAACTAGTTCTTCAAAGACAGCATCAATTTTAAGTGTCTTATCTGTAAACCCGTCCCAGACATACCTCCCTGAGGTTACACCCGTAACTATCTAATCAGATTTCAGGTGTTCCTGAATCTCCTTAATCACACATCCCCAGGCAGTTTCTTGGCTTTGATTATTTCTTCATGAACCGACATCATCATGACTTTTTTTTCCTCTGAAAAAAATGGTGGGACTTCCCTGGTGGCGCAGTGGTTGAGAGTCCGCCTGCCGATGCAGGGGACACGGGTTCGTGCCCCGGTCCGGGAAGATCCCACATGCCGCGGAGCAACTGGGCCCGTGAGCCACAACTACTGAGCCTGCGCGTCTGGAGCCTGTGCTCCGCAACAAGAGAGGCCGCGATAGTGAGAGGCCCGCGCACCGCGATGAAGAGTGGCCCCCGCTCTCCGCAACTAGAGAAAGCCCTCGCACAGAAACGAAGACCCAACACAGCAAAAATAAATAAATAAATTTATTTAAAAAAAGAAAAAAGAAAGAAACAGTCACAAGACAAGGCAGCTCCCATTCTACCATGTAACAGCTTTGAATACTATTCACATGTCGTGAAAATTCCTAAACATTAAAAGGGAAACACTTAAAAATAAATGGTGCAAAAATTTTAATGTACAAAAAAAGACAAACAGTGAAAAATAAATTTCCCTCTCTCTCCTGTCCTTCAGCCACCCAATTCCCCTCCCTTGTCATTATCTTGAGTATCTTTTTAAAGCAGCAGTCCCCAACCTTTTTGGCACCAGGTTTCAAGGTTTCCTGGAAGACAATTTTTCCACGGGCAAGGTGGGCAGAGGGGGTTGCTCAGGCCGTAATGGGAGCGATGGAGGGCAGCAGATGAAGCTTCGCTCGCTCACCTCCTGCTGTGTGGCCCGGTTCCTACCAGGTAGCCGTCTGTGGTCCTGGGGTTGTGGACACCTGTTCTAAAGCGTAGGTTACCATTGTGTTCCTCATTTTGAAAGTAATACAGAGACAGCTGCTTCATTTTTGTTCATTGCTACATTTGATTCTTTTTCATCTATGTACTGTACCTGAACTAAGTCTCCCTTGGATGGATCTTTAAAGGTTTCCGTTTTTTTTTCCTTCTACAAATAACGCAACAAGTATCCTGGTACACACATCATTTTGCCCCTGCAGGATGCATAGATTATATTAGAAATCTTCCTAATTTTATTCTTAGAAGTTAATTTTGATTCTAGTTTGAGGCTCCCTTAATACTATGTGTTCTGTTTAAACTACTCCACCTTGGTGGGTTTACAATAAGAGTATGTGTTATGAACTGAATTGTGTCCCCTCAAAATTCATATGTTGAAGGTTTAATCTCCAGTGTGACTGTATTTGGAGATAGGACCCGTTAGGAGGTAATTAAAGATAAAGGAGGTCATTAAGGGTGAGGCTCTGATCCAATATTACAGAGGTCCTTATAAGAAGAGAAAGAGACCAAGGATGTTAGCACACAGTTAAAAGGCAAGAAGATGCCTGTCTGCAAACCAAGAGGCCTTAGTATAGAGAGGCCTCAGGAGAAACCAAACCTCCCAAGACCTTTATCTTGGACTTCCAGCCCCCAGAACTGGAGGTATAAATTTAAATAAAATAAATAAATTTCTGTTGTTCAAGCCATTCATTCTGTGGTATTTTGTTATGACATCCTGAGGAAATGAATGCAGTATGTACTCTTGGCAGACGATGGAATTAGAAGTTACTTAAATGGTTTAGTATGTTACACCATATTTCTTAGTAATTGATCCTTGATATTTATGTAATTAAAAACTAAATATTACAATACTTTTTTCTTTATCACTGGAGGTTTAATTCAGTATCATATTATTTTAGGTTAATTAGTCTAACAAATATTAAAAAACAGTTATTACTTAAATCAGTTGACAATGTAGGGTAGATTGAGGGCACCATGCTATTAGTTCAGGTTCTTGGCAAGTTCTAAAGATACTCTCATGTTGACGAAACCTGAGTCAATGATTAATACAGAAAGTCAGTAAGGCTCTGTTTAACTTCAGGCATCTTTATGAAAATTGGTCTTTTTTCCTTTGACAGCAAAGAGAACCATGAGTCAAGTCCAAAGAGAAATCTAAATAGACCAAATCTCACCTTTCCAAAGTGTAAGGTGTGTGTGTGTAAACATATATATATATATATATATATATATATATATACACACACATATACACACACACACGGTATACACAGTGTCTACTCAAACAGTATTTATTAGGAAACTAGAGTATGTGCCAAGCCCTATGACCCATACAAAGTATGTTTGGGGTCTACAATCTGAATCTAATATTCCTCTTAGAAGTGAAGGCAAAAGATCTTGATTAGATAAGTAGACCAAAACAGCGATTTTTTCAAGCCGAGATCTTTTTTGGTTTAGCCAACGTAGCAAATTAAGCAGACCTGCTTCTTCTTGGAACACTCATGCCACTGGAATAGAATAAATACATCACGAATGGGAACAGAATGATTTATGAGAGAATTTCACCTGTAATTCCTTGGACGGCTCTTTTAGGCTGTTATCAACTCCCTTTACCTTTATGCCTTACAGAGTGAAACAAACAACCTTAAAGGAAATGGTCAGTCCCTCACCTAATCGTTGTCCCTATTTAATACAAATTTTTAAATGGGCTACCTTGTACAGTATCCCATATCTCTCAGAAAAAAAGAATAAAGGCCACCATATACTGTTCCATCACTCTGTCAGTCAGCTTAGGCTGCCATAACAAAACACCATAGCCTGGGTGTTACACAGCAGAGGTATATTTTCTCACAGTTCTGGAGGCTGGAAGTCTGAGATCAGTGTACCAGTATGGTCCAGGTTCTGGTGAGGGCTTTCTTCCTGGCTTGTAGACAGCCACCTTCTCACTGTGTCTTCACATGGCAGAGAGAGAGCTCTGGTATCTCTTCCTCTTCTTGTACCAATCCTATCAAGAGGCCCACACCTTCAGGACCTCATCTAAACATAATTAACTCCCAAAGACCCCATCTCCAGATACTGTCACATTGGGGTTTAGGACTTCAGCACATGAGTTTGGGGGATACATTTCAGTCCACAGCAATCACCATTGTTATCTCGCCCATGTGTAATGGTAGATGTTGTCGACATTTACTGGGGTTTGTACTTGCCCACAAATACCCTGGCTGTCCCTCTGCCATTGTTTCAAGTCCTTGTTGTTTGTCCCAGGATTACTGACATAGCTGCAGTTCTCCCCATGAACCAATTAACTCTGCAGGTTGCTGCACAAAAGTCCCCCCTCGAAAACCTTCACTGGCCTACAGCATTGCTGCATGTCAGAGCTCCACCACCGGCAGCTGCTGTGTGCTTTAAGCAAGTTATTTAAGCTCTCTGTGCCATGGGCATAATAACAGTGCTTCTGTCAAAACATGTAGTACATTCTTAGAAGAATGCCTGGCTTTTAAGGGCAACATGTGTGCTGGTCAGTGCTGTTATTGTAAATGACAGACCTAGTCTTTTCAGTGCTCATTTCTAACTATTTATATTGATATACTCTGTACTTAGGCCAAACTCATGGCTTGCTAGTTCCCATATGTGTCTTGAACCTTTCCATCCCTCATTTGTTTGCCCTACTTCTAGAATATCTGCCTCCAAACATCTTCACCTGTCAAAACCTTACTAATTCTTCAAAACACATCTCAAAATGTCATCTCTTTCTTGAAGCTACTCTACCCTTTGCACCCATTTCCCATCCAACCATGAGGAGCCCCTCCTGCCATGATACACAACATCATGGACTTTTGGTATGTTTGTTTATTACTATTCTGTCTTGTGTTCATGGTTATTTGTGTATGGCTGGATTGTAAATCACACCAGGGCATAATTATTTGTGTATCCTTGAGAGCCCCCACCCACGGAAGACCATAATTAAAGCTAGTTTAATAAAAAAAAACTCTAATCATAAAACAAGGGAAACTGTTCAGAATTTATTTTTGTATTTTATTAAGAGATTTTTAGGGCACCATCTAGAAGAAACTCTATGGCCACAGGAAGGACAGAACATTTATGGTAAAAACAAGAAGACAATGCATAGACAGAAAAGAATTTAACAACAAAGGTGTAAATCATCACCTCATTTTTCTGAGCTCAATAACCAAGATGTTCTCCATCTTTTTTCTTGGATGACATTGAATAAAATATCCACGTGACCATCTTAAAAATAGAAAAAGTTACTTAAAGTCAGAGAATAAGAACCAAAGAGGAAAGTGTGATAAAGCCCAGGTGGCAGAGAGACAGCACAGAGCAGACGGATGGGTGGAGGGAAGCCTTAGGAGTGGGAGCAATCAGACGCCCCAGCAGCGCCTGCAGACCAGCCCGCTTAGCAGCAGCGTTGCTTCCGGCAGCAGCTCTCGTGCTGGCAGCAGCCCTTCCACAGCCGCAGCCACACGGGCTGCAGCTCCAGGTGCTGCGATGGCGGCAGACCGCGGGGACGCTGCAGCAGCCCCCAGGGCAGCCGTAGCAGCAGGGGCAGCAGCTGGGGCAGCAGCCGACCCGGGAGCATCTGCACGGGGCGCAGCTGCCGCCACCCCAGCCGAGGCAGCCACCACACCTTCCACAGCCACAGCTGCCCACGGTGTTGGGAGAGAGGACTCGGGAGAGGTGAGGAGGGAGACCCAGGAGGGGAGGGAGGTCTGATGCCACCTTCTGCTGGCGAGGCTCTTATATACCATCTTCAGGGGCTGAGCCCAGAATACACAGCTTGTGCCTTGTTGTAGATCCCACTTCCTATAAAAGACCTCACGAGGCCCCTTACGTCCTTCCTTATTGAGGTCTTGTCTGGTGAATATTGCTATTTTAACCTTTACCTGTCTCTTAAATCTATATTTGAATTAGAACACACTTCTAACAGTTGTGTGCCCGTAAGAACTTAAATGTGCATGTACTATATGGTTTGCCCCAGCGTCTAGAGTAGCGCCTGGCCCGTCCTAAGTGTTCAACAGTCAGCTGTTGAATTAGATAAATGCCTGCATTGAAAATTTTAAAATAGTCTTCATTTTGTATGACCATGAGAGTCTGAATCTAGGGCCAGGTAAAAGTCCCATGTTTCTACATATACTTCTTAGTCATCGCGGGTTAGAAAAAAAAAGAAGATTGTTTTTCTCTCTACTGGGATTCATTACTAACCCTTAAGTTACAAAAACCTCTTGGAAAAATAAGTGAAAAGCCAGACCCAAAAGGGAAAGAGTCAGCATCCCTAAATGTATGATATCTCATATTATACCTCACCTTAGAACACAGCTATGTTTTTTTCTGGCTCCCTGAGATTCTTTGTTCACCAGAAGAATTGCTTGATCATTAAAAATTACAAAAAAAAAAAACTTGTGTGATGTCAGATGCTAAAAATATAATTTTGTGTAGTCTACTCCTAAGTCATCTGCTGAGAGGGAAGTTCCTACTTGTCTGTCTGTTAATTAACTGGGAAAACAAAAATAAAAAAGATTTCATCCGGTGGCTGGCCTTCTCTCATGCCTCTCCAGGTTTAAGACCTGTGGCCAGCCCAGCGTTTCAGCCCGATCATGGCCCAGGGGAACGTTTATTCGAAATGAATGGTCTCCACCTGGCTGGCTCTACCTGTTCAGCATTCTTCTTTCTCCCCAGGTAGCCTGCAGGTGTGAACGGTCGTCCATAGAGATACGCTCTTGCTTGCCTGTCTTGAAAACTGAGGCCTGCCCGGCTGGTCCCAGGGCTCCAGGCAGCTCACAGGGGAGGGACCCACTGTACAGTCTCCCTCGAGACTTACACTGCAGCTTCTGGATCCGAGATGCCCAGGCTTTGGCGGGTCCGTGCTTCTCCCAGGATGTTGGTGTCCCTGGATTGACAACTGGCACCTCTTTGATAAGTTTACCTTTTCTTAAAAAAAAAAAAAAAAAAAACTATTTATTTATGGCTGTGTTGGGTCTTCGTTTCTGTGCGAGGGCTTTCTCCTGTTGTGGTAAGCGGGGGCCACTCTTCGTCGCGGTGCGCGGGCCTCTCACTATCGCGGCCTCTCTTGTTGCGGAGCACAGGCTCCAGACGCGCAGGCTTAGTAGTTGTGGCTCACAGGCCTAGTTACTCCGCAGCATGCGGGATCCTCCCAGACCAGGGCTCGAACCCGTGTCCCCTGCATTGGCAGGCAGATTCTCAACCACTGCGCCACCAGGGAAGCCCAAGTTTACCTTTTGAAAGCAAGAGGAAGAAGACTGAAAATGCCCTCCTTTGATCTACTTCTCACCCACCGGCAGGCTGTCAGGACTCTCCCAGCCCTCCAATTCGGGTGCCCGGCATCGTGGAGAAACTCTTCTGCGCTTGTGGGAACTCGAACCATCTACGATGGTCGTGTCTGAGATGCAGGCAACGTTCTGAGGCCCCTGGGGCTGCTTTTTCCCTACACGGTCGGCCATCACTTTTCTACTTCTGAACTAAAGATGTAACACACAACTATTTCATCCCTAACAGAAGACTCAAGGTTATGAGGCCGCTTGCTAAAAATAACAAGTTATCATGGCGCAGGTACTCAAGAAGGAAGTAAATAAAAGGTCTTGGGAGATTCTTCTGTGGAAATTGGGCTTAAAAAGGGGGGGCTGTCAGTATATAAGGGCCTCCCCCAGCAGAAGGCGGCACCAGACCTCCTTCCCTTCCTGGGTCTCCCTCCTCACCTCTCCCGACACCATGGGCAGCTGTGGCTGTGGAAGGTGCGGTGGCTGCCTTGGCTGGGGTGGCGGCAGATGCTCCCGGGTCGGCTGCTGCCCCAGCTGCTGCCCCTGCTACTACAGCTGCCCTGGGGGCTGCTGCAGCGTCCCCGCGGTCTGCCGCCATCGCCGCACCTGGAGCTGCAGCCCGTGTGGCTGCGGCTGTGGAAGGGCTGCTGCCAGCACGAGAGCTGCTGCCGGAAGCAATGCTGCTGCTAGGTAGCCGATGGGCTCTGCCTCTAGGGTAAGAGATGCTGGGAGCTCAGCTCACAGCATTTGGTAAGACTCTCCTCCATCCCTCCAGCCCTCTTCCTCCTGTCCCAGGTACCTTGATGCCTTGGAACTGCTCTTCTGCCCCTTTTAGGCTTAAGTTTCAGGGCTTGTTCTTTCCCATCAGTGTGGTGTCATGATGACAATTTCTTCTCCCTGTATCTTCAGAACTTAGCATAAGGAGGTATTTATTCTCTGTCATCTTTGTAATCTTGTCTCCTCTTGGAAAAAAAAAGATGAAAGACCATCATACATTACCAACATTAGTGCGTGGGAACACAGCCTCTCGTGTCAAAAATCTATTAATGTTATAAACATAACGAAGTAAAATCATGATAGGTAATATTTCGTTTTTTTGAAAACATTACATACGATGGATTTTTTGTTCTTTCCTGTTGTACATTTACTAACTTTTTCCCCGTTTCTATGTTTTGTTAAAAAAAAAAAAAGGAACTCTTTCTTAATTAAAAAATGATCTTTCCTTATTCTAATATGTCTCTCTGTTCTATGAGTTGTATACCAGCCCATGGGTGAGGCCAATGGCACAAAAGACGAAGAGTGATACTCAAAGATCGGGATAGGTTTCAGTTAATGGATGATTGGTCCTCTACTGTCCTATATCTGGTTTTACAATAAAGAAAGAAATTTGGGGGGAAATCCCCAACCTTTAGTTGTCAATATCACTGAGGGAAATTCCTGTGCTCTCCTACAGATGCTGTTGTGACGTCTGTGTCTGCATGTGAGTTCTGGTTTTAAGAGTTGACAGCCGCATTGTGGCTGGTCAGAGCTTCACTCTCTCTATGTGTTTTTTACTCACTCATTCAGCCAGCAAATACGTACTGTATTAGGCCAGATATTCAGCCAAGCACTAGAGGTCTGAGGCTAAACAATCACTTGCCTTCAAGGAGTCAACATCAGAGAGGGAAATGGAGAGTCAATTACAGTACAGCTTTCTATTTCAGTTTTCTTTGTCTGGTCACCTTTTCTCAGTGATTGATTCTATATCAGCAATTCAAATAGAATTTTGGGTACATTATTGCTGCCACTTTGATGAGTACCAATGTAAGAGACACTCAATTCACTTCCTGTATAAGCCAACCAAAGGAATAGTTGACACGTTCCACAGGGCTTTTCACCCAGCCTCCCAGCAACAAATGACACAGTTGACCACGCCCTCCTCCCTGGTAACACCACCGTACCCTTTTTTTTCTCCTTCCTATTCAGCCTTTTCTGCGGGTCCTTTCCCAGCATTGGTACCCAAGGCTCAGGACTTTGCCCTCTTCTCCATCATTCTACACCCTCATCTGATCTCTACTCTTTTTTCTTTCCCATAGTACTCACCACTTTCTAACATACCATAACATTCATGACTTTACCACGCTTACCCTTTGTCATTCTCTCTGCCTCACCCCACACCCAACTAGAATGTACAAAGATTCTCACTCTTGTTCACTGACATTTCTCTAGCACCTAGAACAGTGACTGGCACATAGTATGTACTCAAGAAATAGCTTCATAATGAACAGATGATTTTTTTAAACTTTTTTAATCATAGAAAATGTCAAACACACACAAAAGTGGAGAACAGTACAAGAAATTCCTAAGAACCATCACCCAAGACAACAGCTGTTAACACATGGCTCATCCCTTGTCATCTGTGCCCTCACCCACCCCCCTCCCACCACTGGATCATACAGAATGGAGTCCTCAGCAAATATGTTTAGGTTTCTATGAATGAAAGAATTCCTCATCATCTCTCTCTGGCTTAGACTATGGCTAAGAGAGATCGGAGAAGCACAGCAGTAAACTCCTCAAGGTCCAAGGTGAGGAGGTCTCTCGGGGAGGTGTGTAGAGGAAAGGCATGACACCCTCACCTTTAAGAAAACTTCAGTTTTCCCTGGGAGGGCCCTACAGTTTACTCATTGCCACTCCTGTGGTGCATCCTGGTAATTTATAGGCAGACTTCTTAAAAGTTACAGGAGGATGAGAATAGAAAATCTAAGCCAATAGGACTTAGTGACCCAAGACACCTGGGGAGACTTTTAATCAATTCCATTCTCACTAGGAGCCTTTAGAAACCAAGCAGTGTTCATCTTTGGAGAGAGTTTTCTATTCCCAGCAACAAATAAAGAGAAAAACTTTAAAAGCAAAAATCTATTTTAACCAATGAGAACTTCATAATGCTTTTTTAAAAATCTCTGCTTAATAAAAAGTATTTAATAAATGGACTATTTGTATTAGAAAATTCTCAAAGCTCCAGAAAACCACCACCTCGCCACCGTTAAAAACAAAAACAAAAACAATGGCTATAGACATTGGCTCTGGAATTAGGATATTCTGACAAAAATCCAGACTTCTCTATTTACCAGTCTTATTTCCTTCAGCCTCACTTTATTTGCAACATGGGAATCATGACTGAGCCTCCCTCATAAGTTTTTGGAATAGATGGATTTATACGAAATGACACTGCATTCTGCTCATCTTGCTTTATTTCGTTGGGTATCAACATACTACTTTCAGTTGGTCTTTTCAGGTACAGAGCTGTTTGCCCGCAGACCGCGGATTCCTGCCTGTAGTTCAAAGGTTCTGGAAGCTTGTAAAGAGCCCACACAAAACTTTGGGGCGGGGCCACCGGCTCCGAGAAGGGCCGGCCACGCCCTTGCCCCGCCTCCGGGCCCGCCCCCGCTGCTACCTTTAGAGCCTGGCTTCATCATACCCGACTGCTGAGGGTGCTGGTCCCGGGGCCTTGATATCCCGGGCTGTGAGCAAGTTGGCGAGCAGAAATCCCCTCCTGTAGGTAAGAATGTCTCCAGGAGGTAAATTAATTGAAGAAATACCTTCATCCCTCGGCCGCCTCGCCACTCCTTCCCCCAGTTTCGGGAGCTTGAGCGGGGCGGGTACCTGCGCTGTAGCAGGAGGGTTCGGACTGGCCTGGGTTACATCCCTGGGCCTTTGGCGGACAGCCAGCTGCTTCCTGCTGCTACTTCCCTTCGGATCCATAGCTCTGCCATCCACAGTGCTGAGATTTGCCCAAGTAGGTTTGGCTAGAATTGCTACTTTCAACCATCTGGAAAAGCAGATTAAATAAAACCTGAATTCTGGTAAAGGGCCAGCATTCCCCATAGTTACATCCATGGTCACAGCTTTTAACTAAAAGGAAATCTTAGCACACAATTCCAAATCCCCATCCAAGAATGTCGAAAAGGTCCTAGTGAGGAAAAGAAAGGGGACTTTAAAGGTAAGAGGTCCGGGACCCTATTGAGACTACTTTAACTGAAATTTTAAAATAATACAGTCGTATCTTACGACAATATTTCTGGAAAGGATACCTAATTCATTAAAAACGTGTAACAATTACTTATCAAGTCCATGTTGCTGCCGTAAATATGCAAAAGGTTTGAGCTCGTGGAGCGCTTAAAATTTGAAAAGGGTGAAGGAAATAATGTTTTCTAAAAATACACAGAAGTGTTTTGCTTCTGCAGACAACAGAACATATTGGTGTCTCGTAAGGCAAAATGTATGTCTTCGTTAAGGTACGTGTTTTAAGTAGACCAAAACATAACTTCCAAATACAGACATACTTCCCTTTATGGAGTTTTTTAAATACTTTTGCTCACTTCTGTGTCTCTGTGTCACATTTTGGTAATTTTCACAGTACTTTCAACTTTTTTATTATTATTGTATTTGTTATGTGATCTGTGACTTTTGATGTTACTACCACCACTTGCTGAAGGCTCGGATGATGGTTAGCATTTATTTAGCACTAAAGTATTTTGAGATGCTGTGGCCTTTCCCGTTGCGGAACACAGGCCCCGGACGCGCAGGCTCAGCGGCCACGGCTCACGGGCCCAGCCGCTCCGCGGCAGGTGGGATCTTCCCGGACCAGGGCATGAACCCGTATCCCCTGCATTGGCAGGCAGACTCCCAACCACTGCGCCACCAGGGAAGCCCAGCATTAAAGTATTTTTAAATCAAGGTATGTACATGGGTTTTTTAGACAACGCTATTGCACACTTAATAGGATACGATATAGTGTACACATAATTTTTATATGCCCTGGGAAACCAAAAAACTCCTGTGACTCGCTTTATTGCAATATTAGCTTTATTGAACCCACTCACGGTAGCTGGGAAGTACGCTTACATGTTTGTTTGTTTTTTCAAGCTGCCTTAGTGGTAGCTGAAATGGACAAAAATACTAATTTCTTTCGGTCATTATTGGTTATGGGCCAACAGTGGTTTCTCAAGGTTAGGTAACGGTAAATGCAATTCAAGCCTAAGTATTTAAAGATGAATTGATTTGGCTCACTGCCCCTTAGCAGTTTAGGTGAAATTAGCTACTGTGTACCTTTCTGAAATTACTGTCTCTGAACTATGAGGGCCCAGCTGTGTTTGTTCTGGTTGGATATGCAAGGCGTGCTTGCATGAGGGAGACGGGAAGGAAGCTGTGTTGAGCACCTCATATGGGCCAAGAACCAGATGGAGCAGTTCCTGAAATAACCTTATGGGGTGGGTGTGATTATCCCCATTTTTTTTAAATTAATTAATTTATTTTTGCTGCGTTGGGTCTTCGTTTCTGTGCGAGGGCTTTCTCTAGTTGCGGCGAGCGGGGGCCACTCTTCATCGCAGTGCGCGGACCTCTCACTATCGCGGCCTCTCTTGTTGTGGAGCACAGGCTCCAGACGCGCAGGCTCAGTAGTTGTGGCTCATGGGCCTAGTTGCTCCGCGGCATGTGGGATCTTCCCGGACCAGGGCTCGAACCCGTGTCCCCTGCATTGGCAGGCAGATTCTCAACCACTGCACCACCAGGGAAGCCCGATTATCCCCATTTTTAAGAGAGGGCTGGAAAAAGTTAAATGACTGACATCAGCGGGCGGGGCCAGGAGGAACATGGGCTTCAGACTCTAAACCTATGCTCTTTCCACGGGACCACACTGGCTACCGCAAACACAAACCTAGGGAAAAGAATTAAATAAACA